ACCGCCGGCAGCTTGGTTTGAAAAAGAAGTGAGAGGTTGCTGTTGAAAATATATATCTACATACAGATTTCGGCTGCTGGAAGAGTATTATAGAATTGGTGGCTGCCATAGTCTATCATTTAATTAAGCCCCTCCTCTTGTGCTTGTTTCCTGTTTTACATATAATTGGAATTGGTTGATGGGAATGGATCGAATGGTGTAGAGTGTTTGGGGAGAAGGCAGAGGGAGGAGGAGGAGATGGAGAAGGAGAGAGTTTTTTTTTTTTTTAATATTTTTATAAGTTTTGGACTCATTTGCATTTTTAGAAAAAGTCTAGGAGTAAGATTGTAATTTATTTTGTATTTTTCTTTTCTTTTGTTTTTGTTTTATTTTAGTAGAAGGGTAAAATTGTCAAAAATGGACGAAAATGATGTTTTGCGCAAGAAATGGTAAAGGTAGGGATGTTTTGCGCCAAGAAATGAAAGGTAGGGACGTTTTCCACAACAACCGTCAAAGGTAGGGATGTTTTGCTCCAATTACCCTTAAACTTAATGTAAACAAGAATGTACATGTAGAATGATTAATTCTTTTCCACACTAAACGTCTATTCCAGTCTACATTGTCTAATCACTTGAAAAATGTTAAGAATCATGCTACGCGTGTAGATTTTTCTCATAGAATTGATTCACATATAACGCACGACAAAACATCATTGAAAATGGGAAAAGAAAGAAAAAATAGACAGACGGGATGCTGCCACAGCAACACTATGTAGGAAACCTTTGAAACTTTCACTGTATGTAGGGAATAACTCAATTTTCTAAAAATGACCAAATACAGGTACAAATGGATTTGTCGGATGAATTTACAGAATGTCAAATGACAATATTTCATTGGACCATACTATCTGTATACCGAGATTGACACCCCGATGACAGACCTCCGTCTGTCATCGGGGTGTCAATCCCGATGTACAAATAGCATTTTTCTGTTTAATTAGAGTTTGAACAAAGAAAAAGTTGAAAAAATTCAATAAGGCGCTGCCATTTCAGTACCCGTAGACGACACCGTCCAATTCCTCTGTACAGACAACTTTATTTTAATATAAAAATTGAAATTTCAAAATTCAAGATTCATCAACGGCGGTTCCAATTCACGACGTCTGTCCATCAAAAGTTGAACATTTGAAGTTACGTTGGGGCCCGCTTTTAAATTTTCAGTCTTCAACACCCAACCCCCACATAAAAGAAGCCTGCAACGTGTCTCTCTGCTCAAATCCAGCTTCACTACGTAACGTAACTCACCCACTGTCCTAATTTAACCTCTTAGATATTCGCCACCGCATCAACGACGGAGACATCTGGCCCAATCCGCCTGCTACGTTCACACCTCTCATTGGACCATAGTACATAAAACCACCTCAATTTCCCCTTCTACCCAACTTCGGTACACGTGTCCCTGAACTAAACAAATTGCACATTGTAGTCACTACTCTTTAGTGCCTATGTCCTTCTTGTCTCCAAGTTTTAAATTCACACTTCAGTGTCTTTTGCATAAATAGTCGTACCATTTCTTGACGAACTTGATATTAAATCCCTGTTTGGCGAAAAATATGTTTTGGAATAGTAAGTTTTTAAAGAAAATGTAGTTAAAAAAATAAGAAAAGATTTTGAGTTTACGTATAAAGTTATTTTATGGTAGAATGTGTGATTGAAAATAATTTTGACGTCATTTCTGCTGTTTTCATTTAGAGTCTGCCCTCTTTGCTGTTTTCACGCCATTTTCAGTTGTCAATTTTCGAAAACACTGAAAACACGTTTACTTACGTATTTTCAGAAACGAATCTCCAATAATAAGTTTAAAATTTACAAAGAAAAGGGAAAACGCTAAAAATGTCATTTTGGCTGTTTTCAGTTAAAATCAAGTCAAAACTTTATTTTTTTTATTTTTGAAAACAATTTTTCAAAATGACAAAAAAAAAAGCGTTTTCAGCAATTTCAAAATGAACACTCAAAACATAAAATCCAAAATAAATTCAAAACTAAAAAAAAAATTTGAAATATGAAGAGAACAATCACTAATTTTTTCTCAAATTTATTTTTAATCACACATTTTTTCAACAAAATAATTCCACATAAATTTTAAAATTTTTCCTACTTTTTAATTATATATTCTCCAAAAAATATCACTGTTATTATTATCATCTTTTTGGATGAGAGTGAATTTCTCAATTCATTGAGTAATGTCTGAAAATACATCATAATTTTATTGAGCGGTGAATAGAGACACATACAATTAAATCCTGTTTGAACCTCACTATCTAAAAATTTATTTTTTCCAAACTCATTTTTAACCGAGTAATGCTACTTGCAGTCGCTCACTGCAGCAGTCGTCTTATGTGGCACACACATGACATGTAGTTATTTGATGCATTAATGTGATAGTTTTTTACCACATTTAATGCATCAAATACACACTTGACATGTGTATGCCACACAGGGCGGCTGCTGCAGTGAGCGACGACAAGTAATTACCACATTTAATGCATCAAATATACACTTGACATGTGTATGCCACACAGGGCGGCTGCTGCAGTGAGCGACGACAAGTAGCATTATTCTTTTTAACCACACATTCTCTCATTAAAATTATTTTACACTTAAAATTCATATTTTTACGTACTTTTTAACCACTCATTCTCTAAAAAATATTATTACAAAAAAATGGAGCTCAAGAAGAAGTTGAATTGGTGATGAAAACAATTAATAATGAATAACATTACTATAAATAATGCAATTTCATGAGAGTTCGACTCTGATTCAATATTAACGTTCGTAACAAATGCAAATCGGACAGAAAGTCGTATTTCCAGTTATGGACAAGCGAGTAACAAGTAAGAACCTATTATTGGGAGGAAGAAAGCATCTGAAAATGGCTACTAAATACCTTATAGGCACAGGAGCAAAAGGATGAATCCGTCCAAGGAGTGGTAATGAATAGTAAATTAAGGATTTAATGTGGAGAGTAGTGTGAAAAGTTGGAAGGTTGACAATTGCGACTTCAAAGGTGAGGGAACAAAATAGCATTGGTTATAAGTTTAGGGACTAAAAGTGAATTTCTCCATTATTAAATAATGAGACCCTTGTGGGTCCGATCATTCAAACCATAAGTCACACGTCAAAGCCGTGGCGGATTCTGATTGGCCCACGTTTGATAGTGGATAGTACACGTGTTGGGTGAAAATGGACGGGTGGAATGGGTTTGGCCGGAGATGAACGGTTGCGATATACTTCTTTAGGCCGGCAAGCACGAATTGCGTGGTGTCATCTGTTAGGGCAACGGGCAGACTGCCCCGGGAACGTTCATAATCATGTTAATTCACCGTAGCTCTACACGTACTATAGAGGAAAAAGGGTTTCTTAGTTGTACTGAAATTGTTCTTTTAATGGATTTCTCGTGACCCACCGCAATCATTTCTTTTCCTTTCTCTGCTCTCTTTCCGTATTTTGATTGAATCCGATACCTCTTTTGCAAAATTGATTCTGTACTTGAAAACAACAAAAATTGAGATTATGTGAAGGGTGGTGAGGTGGGCCGGGGAATGGCTGAGATTTGTTATGAAGTAGTAGGTGAGAGTAAATCATCAACTTCGTGTGAACCAAGCAGCCGAGCGGCGAGGCGGCGCAGGATGGAGGTTAGGAATGCTAAGATTGTGCCTCAGGTCCCTCCATCGAAGGCGGAGGAGGATGGAGTTGAACGTCCTCGTTCTGTGGAGCTTTGTGGAGTAACATTTTCCTGGGATTGCAACAACGCAGTCGAAAACTGTCGACTGGTGAGTGAAGAGAAAGTGATTTTGCAGCCAGAAAATGGGAGAACAAAGGAGAATCTTTTGACGCCGATTTTGACTCCGTTAGCGGCGTCTTCTTCTGACGTGTGGCCCAAATTTGGGGTGGCATCTGTTTGCGGTCGGAGAAGAGATATGGAAGATGCGGTAGCAATTCAGCCTTCATTTTACCCAAGTGAACATGAAAATCCTGCAGGTTTTCATTACTTTGCTGTTTATGACGGCCACGGATGCTCTCACGTACGTTCTCGGTAAATGAATTATTTTCGTCGATTTGTTCCATATGATCAATTATTCTTCGGATTTTCAGGTGGCGACGAAATGTAGAGAGAGATTGCATGAACTAATCAGGGAAGAGCTGTTGCTCGAAATCAAGGCAGGCAGTACCCAGTGGAAGAATGTAATGGAGCGAAGCTTCATTCGGATGGACAAGGAAGTAATTGCATGGAATGAAAACGTAGTTAACATAAGCGCCAATTGCCGGTGCGAACTTCAAACTCCGGAATGCGACGCTGTTGGATCAACCGCCATCGTCGGAATTCTCTCTCCAGACAAGATCGTCATTGCTAATTGCGGCGATTCGAGAGCTGTGCTTTGCCGCAATGGCAAAGCCGTCCCTCTATCTAACGATCACAAAGTAAGAATACTGTGTTTTTTGTTTTCACTAATTATCTCAATCGTACACGTAATAATTAATTCTTGATTTTATGGAATTGCAGCCTGACCGTCCAGATGAACTCGATCGGATTCAAGCGGCTGGTGGCCGTATAATATATTGGGACGGGCCTCGTGTGCTTGGAGTTCTAGCCATGTCAAGAGCCATAGGTAACGGATCTTTCTTTCTTATGGTGCATAACTCTTGCCCCCTCTGAATTATATATTTATATATATGGGAAAAGGAAAAGAAAATTGGAAAATATATGGTTAAAAGAAGAGAAAAATGCCTCCTCATGTATGAATAAATTAATTTTGATAATATAGGTGATAATTATCTGAAGCCATACGTTAGTTGTGAGCCGGAGGTAACAATTACAGATCGGAGTGCAGACGACGACTGCTTGATATTGGCAAGCGATGGGTTGTGGGACGTTGTGTCGAATGAGACTGCATGTGGGGTTGCACGGATGTGCTTAAAAGGGAAGGCGGTATCCACCAGTGAGCCGCCGATGGAAAGTCATGACGGTGGTGCTGGGGAGAATTCCGACAAGGCTTGTACAGATGCATCGATGCTCCTCACCAAACTGGCTTTGGCTAGGAGGAGTTCGGACAATGTCAGTGTGGTTGTGATTGATCTTAGGAAACTCTCTTGAGAAAATCGTGTCTTCATTGGATTCTCTCTTTTGTTGGCTCTGTTAGTTTTTTTCTCATCAAGAAAAAATGTAACCATACATTTGATTGGCAAATGTTGAAAGACTTTTCAATTTCACGTAAGTTTGGAAATAAAAACTCAAGAATTCCATATGAATGCATTTTTCGTGAAATTGACAAAAAATAAGTTTAAAGTGTTTGTACCTTGAAATTCGAACTTCATTTTCACTTTCATATCAAATAATCAAAGTAGAAATTGAATTTTTCGAATGTGGCATTTTTTATGGAATTTAAACCAATTGAAAGGACGTTCCGTTTGATACATCATATTTTTCATGGAAAATGAANAGTATTCGGTATGGTGATTTTTTTTTCAATTTTTGTTTTTTTTGGAACAAATTTTAGACTTAATGGTAGAAAAAATTATCACTTTAATGGACATTTTTCATAAAAAAGGACACCAGACTTTGAACATTTTTCATGAAAAATTATACCAATCAAATACAATTAATTACAATTTTCAGTAAAATAATTTCTAAACAAATTAATTTTCTGTAAAACATATTCTTTCCACCCATTTTTCACATTCACAATCAAACGGACCCTAATTTCTTGCTTTGTAGAAAACAAAAATATCGGATTTAATATTTTTATTCTGTTTGAAGAATGAAAATTATTATACATTATTATTACATAAAAGATTATCATACGACAACAAATGATTATAAAATTATGTTTAGTCCTTGTTTGGTGGGACTAACGTTACATATTTTGTGTAAATAGGTGAGATGTCACATAATATGTCTTGCTTGTTTCGAGTGTTAAGTCATTGTCTATTATCATGTGGTTGTCAATTGGTAATTATCCATTGGCTCAAACCATACATTCACATTCGATTGGGTTGAGGCCTTGAAAAGAGAGTCAATTACTCAGCTCTCGTTCAACCCTCTTATCACAATTTGTAGTAAATTATGTTACAAATTAGATAGAAATTAGAGATAGTTAATATACTTTTTTTTGTATTTTATAAAGAATCAAAGTCTTAGACGTCGACAACGTTCTTGTGAATAAATCAGACACATTATCATTTAAATGAATTTGTTGAACGTCGATATTACAATCTTGTGAAGCTCATGTATAACATTTTTTTTAAGAAATATGCCAAAAGTATATTTCTAAGCAATGTAGAGTAATGCTCCAATTGCACTCAAGTATGGTACTTCAGGATCAAAAATATTTTTTCCATCTTCAAGTATGCGAAATTGGCCTTTTTAACATTAAGCCCCTGTTTGTTTGGCATTATTGTAGGGAGAGAATGAAAAAATTGACCCTTTTTTAAAAAATTGGGTCCCACCATGAGAGACAATGGTAAAAAATCACGGCTACCAACGGTCATAAATCTTCTATAAAATGGGAAATAATGCCAAACAAACAGGGACTAAATGTTTATACGACCATAAGCATTGTTAGTTGATGTGTTTTATCCATATAAAAAACATTTAAAATACTCTTTTCGTATATGATGAGGTTTTGATGAACATAATATTTTTGGAAAATGCTCAATTTTCAAACTTAGACATAATTTTATTTTATTTCCTAAATCTTTCACCCCAAATTCATTTTTAAAAAAATTTACAATTTTGTTGAACTCTCCAAGAGTCTATATTATTAGATTTATAGCATCTACATAAATTGACATGATTGCAAATTCAATATATGTTTTCTTCATGAAAATACATGGGTAAGCATCAACTCTTTTTTTTAAAAAAAAAATATTTTTCAACAAATATTGTCTAAGGCGATTATATCTCCACATGTCAAAATTTGTTTAAATCCATATTTGTTGTTTCTTTGAACACATAATTTTGGAGAATGAATCGTTTGCTTCTAACATTTTAAATCCTTTTAGAGAGTTTCACATATGCTTCACTATCATATAAATAGGAAGTAACTATACATCAAATTGTGGATGTTGAGCCATTCTAAGTCGTACAAATTATTCAAACGTTAAAAGTGTAATGATGTCCGTCATAAGGTAATATTTTTCCTTGCTCAAAAATCATTTGCGTCTTATAGGGATTTTATTTAAAGCGTTCGAACTATATATCTAAATAGATTTACTCCATATAATTCGAGTTCACCTACAATGCTTTTAATTTTGGGTCAATAATTTTTGCATCACATTCTTTTTGTAGACTTTGTTTCAATATACTCTCTATCAATATTGACCGCTACAAAAATTTGTCGATAAATATTTATCATCGATTCCATTTATACCCTTTAGTAACATAACTTTATTGAAATCTCTTTATATTACAAAATTCAGGTACCTAAACCTTTTCTAGGATTATTCGAGTAATTATGTCTTATAAACTCTTCAAGACCGTTTCTTCAATAGCACAATGATAATTGTTTGCTCTATTTTCCCATCTTTCATGGACTTTTGTCTTACTCACTTTAATAATTCAATTGAAACATTAATCAAAATTGAAGCACTAATAGCATTCTTTGAAAAGAAAACCAGTTTTGAATGGAGATTTAAAATAAAACCAGCTAGTTAGTTGGATATACGTCAAGTATCGACCACCCATTTCATGCTACACTTGAAACGTGACTTCTTGTAGGAAATCGGTTTATCACTATATTGGATGGTGTAACATTCACTTCATGGAATGAAATAGAACTAGCCAAAAAACATCAACTTATTTAGTCAAAAGTTCGTTATTATGTTCAATCATAGCATGGGTCGATTCACCCAAGGCCAGCCCTAGCCCAAGGTGAACTAGGATGTTGCACCAGGATCACTTGTCACACCCAAAAAGTCATCATTTACAGTGGCGACCCAAGATTTTGAGTCAACATGGGAGGTCATGGATTGTCGACCATTGTCAGCAATAAAATATTAAGAGTCCCGTTTGATGCCCATTTTTTGCAAAAAGTGCATTTTGGAACAGTTGTTTGAAGGAGAATATGTAATTAAAAATAAAGAAAAATTTTGAATTTGAATGTAATATTCTTTTATTGAAAAATGTGAGGTTGATAGAATAGAACAGTGTATTTTGAAAAAAAAAAAAAAAGGAATCAAATAAGGTCTAAAATTTAAATATAACAATTATTTTGTTCAAACTGAATGTATATAATTTTGTTGTAAAAATTAGCAATATCTACCAAATAATATTGTGGGCAAATTTTGTATAATTCAAAGGAAGAGCACGAGTTCAAATTTTTACAATTGCATTAAACCCGCTAAAATGTAACATATATTATTCGGGTAAATTTAGCATCAATCTCTCAATATCCTAAGGAGAGGTCATGGTTTCGGAACTCCTCTCCTTATCCCATTTAATTTTGGTAAAAAATAAAGAATTAAAAATCTTTCACGATAAAAGTGGTGGGAAAAGGATTCGAAACGGGGACTTCCCATATGAATATACAAGCTCTAACCAATTGAGCTACATAAGTTTGAAAATAAAACAATTACTAGGTATATAATCTAATTGGTTTATTCATTGTCGATAAAAAAAATGGATCCCGACTGATCTAGCTCGGGGCTTGTTGGGTGCTGGGTCCGCCACTGATCCTTTATGGTTCCAATACAGAACTGCAAAATGAGAGACGAACATTAATGAAAGTTTGGTCGGTGACAGAGGGCAGAATAGAAAGTAAATTTATAAGAGGGTATTGGAGACAATAGATATCAATGTAGTTTCAATCTTGACAATTACTTCGAGCGACAGAAGTAGGATACTGATATAGCATTTATTTTTTCACAAGTATAATTCGGATTCGCCAATGAACATTATAACAAGGCTAATCACTTCAAAAGAACTAGGCAATATAACATCCTCGAAAAGGAGAAAAGCCTTCTTCCAACAAATTTAGGATCGGCCAAAATTTCATTCGTTGGCTCGGTGGAATGAATTCCAAATAATCTGTAATATACTAAAGGGATAATTGCAGCAAAAGCCCCAAACCTTTAAAACACTGATAGACTTTTCCCAAACCTTTGATTTGTTGCGGTCATCAATCCTAACCTTTTGAAACGTTGCAAGAGAGATCATTTTGAACGGTTTCCATCCAAAATACCGTCAGTTGACCAAAAAACTGATTTTGATCACATTTTAATCAATTTCAAAAGGGCAAAATGGTAATTAGCTATTAATCAAATTAAATAATTAAATAATAAACAAAAAAAAGGTCATTCAATTTAGGCTCCAAGCCAACGAATGTGAGTAAATTTGGGGTGATCTACGCTGGAGCCCAATGTCGGTTCATCTAGGTTTACAATTGTGATGGTAAGGTCGGATTTAATTGGAAATGCGCAACCAAATACTCCTGCAATGCTAGATTACAAGATTCACGCCATCCCCCTTGCTTTTGTATTTATATGTGTGGGTTGGTGTTCGAGGATCTCATTGCTCAGGATGGATTGAACAAGGTGAAGAAGATGAATGTGAAGAAGGCACAAATTGTGTATGACACTATTGATAGGAGTAAAGGGTTCTTTAGGTGTCCGGTGGAAAAGAGTGTGAGGTCATTGATGAATGGGCCATTAACTTTGGCAAAGTTGAAGTTGGAAGCTGGGTTTGTAAAGGAAGCAGCCAAGGAGAAGATGGTGCAGTTGAAGGGGCACATGTCGATTGAGGCATGGGAGCTTCAATATGCAATGCTATGCCTTTGGCTGGGGTTAAGAGAAAAGAACAACTGGTTTTGGTTTGGGGTGGGGATGACCTTTTTTTTTCTTTTTTTTTTCCTTTAATTATTTAGAGGGTGTTTAATATGGATTAAAATTATATTTTTAATAGATTTTGATAGAAGTTATTGAAATGTGTGATTGAAAAGTTGTGAGACCTATAAAAGATGTGATTAATATTTATTGTTTGACTTTGACTTAAATTAAAATCAAATTTTGGACCAAATAGGGGCTTAATGTGATTAATAGTTAACCATTTTGCCCTTCTAAAATTAAATTTTTGAGTCAACTGACGGTATTTTGGATGGAAACTGTCCAAAAGGGTCTCTCCTGCAACGTTTCAAAAAGTTAAGTGTGACGGCTGCAACAAATCAATGATTTGGGGAAAGTTTGCCAGTGTTTTAAAGATTTGGAGCTTTTGCTGCAATTATTCCTATATTAAATATCACATAAAGTGAGAATCATTTTTTGGACGATTATAGCCATACTATAGTTTAATTTATTTCAATAATATCTTATTTTTCATTTTTCAATATGTATTTAATTTACAAAATGTAATAAATATAGTTGATTCTCAATTAATTAGAATTTCACATTCACAATCGCGTTTATGCCCTTTTATTAATTCTCAAATAATTAACATTCACATTCATTTAATTAATATTGATTTAAATTTCAAATTCAAAGATGTAGTTCATTATTCACGTCCATGTATACTAATTAGCATCTGTTTTCAACTAATTGAAAATTAAATTATATTCATTTAATATAAATGATTTAATATTCATTGTCACGTATATATTCCTTGGTATTAATTCTAAATTAATTAAGATTCACGTTAATTCATATATCGTATTTGTCATTCATTTTCATTTATGCATTTAATTGTAATTCTAATATTCACATTCAAGTATGCATTTTATTATTTACGTGCGTATATAATAATTAACATTTATTTTCAAAATCTTGCATTTCTCTTATATTTGATCTAAAGGATAAATGAAATGTTAAATATTACTTTCACGAAACTTATAAAGCATATCAGAATAACGTNATATTACTTTCACGAAACTTATAAAGCATATCAGAATAACGTTCAATTTAAATATGCAAAAAGGACAAACTTGTGACATGGATAGAGGCAAAACCAATTTTCGAAATATAATCTGCTAGAATGATTGTAAATCAAGAAACTGACGTGATTCGAAATGAAAACTTGACCTATCTGCAAAAATTTCGAATCAACATCGTAATATTTAAAACAACACAAAAACTGCAAATATTAAATAAATAAAATTGAAAATATAGCAGACTTTGTTAGTCATGGAAACAATTCAACAACAGCTACACCAATCTCTCCCTTGAAGGGTCGAAA